GTAGTTGTTCATGGTCAAAAATTTTATAAAGTGACGACCAGAATTTTGCGTTTTCAGGACAAAGCATAATAAATCTTCAATTTTTTTCTACTTTTGCTATTTTGCCAGAATATACAGGACGTAATTTTGTAGTTTTTCAGCTTTCTTATTTTTCAAAATTGGAATTATTTTTCCCGACAGTCAACTCTTGAACTCCTCTTAATATTTTTTAAACTTTTTTGATTGTTTATAAATAACCAGTGGTGACCGACTAAAATCTGCGTTAATTTACCGAGTAAATCACGGATCATTTTGATAAGGCATAATTCGATTCCAAACTATCCTATACTAATAGTTTTAGCTGGTTTCGCAAGGGAAATTGAATTCCTTGTTATAATGCACTCTACCAATAGTGGAAAAAACGGAAGAGTTTTTCTCGATTTGCTTGCTCCGTAGGACCTGGAGCCTCATGAGACCTGAAAGGAATTGAAGACCTCTGATAAATGAAAAATTTATCTGCTTTTGAGCGAACCTGATTAATTTTAGGGGAGAGATCCCTCATTTAAAGAGGAAGTCCTTGTTGAACAAGTTCTATCAAAAAAAGATCCTCCGATTTTTAAGCAAAATGCCACTTAAAGAAGGTACTCGATGCTTGACAACATTTCAAAATGAGGAGTTGAAGTCACGGCAGGTCCATAAGTTACTAGATGGAAAGCAATTCAAAGCCGTAAAAGGCACTTAACTTAGCCGTTTTTATATTTCACAATCATCGTGTGACCAGCCCTATAAATTCGGTAAAATAGGAAATATTGTCATTCAAATGTAGTAAAATTATTGCCCACTTTTTTATACAATTGTCAGAAAATTATTGCTTTTTAGTTTAATTTGTACCACTTCATCTCGTCAGTTCATTTTAACTTATTTTATTGGCCTATAAATGCTCTGAGATGAAGCAAGTAATCTGCAATAGATGAGTAGCCTATGACAATTAATACCCATGCTTCTGAGATTTTAGGGTATAAAAACTTCAAAGAAGAAAGCAAAAAATAAATATAAGGAATTTTTCTCGTTCTTCTTCCATTTTTGTTCGGAGGGAGCTTAATTAGAAAGACGAAAACGCTAACAGGAGGGGCAAAGAGCAAACTTTAAATAACCTGAAAAGATATGATAGGAACAGTAGCTGCGGTTACCAGGTCAAGTAGGCATGAAAGATATTGGAGGGCAGTAAGCTATAGCGTGTACTTCCATAGAATATCAGATAGAGAGCCGCTGCTTTCTCAGTATTTAGTCAATACTAGGAAATATGGCTTGCTAATATGAAGAACAACGTATATTTCTTGATTCTTTCTCTTGTTCACACTATTTAAAACAACCATGGTTGCTTTTACGAAAAAGCCCTTCACTGGATCCACAATGAATACGATCAGAAGCACAAAACTAAAAGCAAGCAAACTCGCAGCAAGTCGGGAGGCACGCTTATACGTAACCTTACTCAGAAGTCACTAGGAGCCACTTCAACCTTAGGTAACCAGACTTAAAGAAAGCTAAATAAGCTTCGAACTGCCAAGGCGTCCCGAATGCACCATTGGGACGCAGTATGAACAAAACAAACAAAGACGATTAGTAAAGGAAATTGAATAAGAAAGCAAAAAAGTTAAATAAAGCTGCTGCTTCTAAATAAAGACAGTAGTACTGTACGATCAGCATCTAATGAAGCAAAGAAAAAATCATACACATGATTGCTAGAGGTTTGGCGTCAGCCTCTATTTCAAACTTTTCAAAAGTAGTAGCGTCCACACAACTTTTACAAAGTTTTTTTTGGCTCACAGGGAAAGGAAAGCTAAGGAACGGATAGGAAAGAGGAAAAAGAATTTTTCTTTGTGACTTTACTATTTATAGTTCCACATTATGGAATGATAAATCTGTCCCTGAGTACAGATTTTTGAACTCCTTTCATAAAGGGTGTTTTTGTAAGGCCTTAGTTTGCAGTATTAATCTTGACAAACTCTTGATTTCAAACACAATTGTGACGTAGTCCAAAAGCTCATTAGGACAGCCGACACGCACCCGCCGAAATATACGAGCAGTAAAGAGCCCTCCCAGCAAGACCCCTCTGTTACTGTGTAAATTTGGTAGCAGCGTCTCGGTATCGCGACAGAAAAAAGTCAGAATTTTCGTAGCATTCAGAAGTCTAAGCCAAAACTAAGAATCATAGAACACAATAGAAGTACGATTTAATAAACCTTAAACTTTCACCTGAAACATTAGCCTTCAATTACTAGCTTTCCTCCGTTTGCTTAAAACGGTTTTAACGCTGCCCGTCAGTTGGCTGCGTTTTCAGTCACTAAAGTTAGGAAGAGAACGAAACGGACATTACACTTGGCAAGTGTGGCAAGGCTGACTGCGCCTCTCAGCAGGATAACTGGCATTTTGACACACACTGTTTTTAAACAATACAGTGTCTAAATAATATTCTGAAAAAATTTCTAGGCGGTCCCCTTATACAGCGTTAGGAAACGTTTGTGTGTTACAGTATCCAACGACATTGAACAATTTTGACTGGACGTTGAACAATTTTCAACGATCGTTGATTAACTAGTTCCATAAGCTAAGCAGTGTTTCAAGGAATGCGGATTTTTCAGCAGAGTACAGCTGATCGTGCATTAAGGAACCCGTTGTACACTGCACAGAATTTGGATGAAAATTTAAGGAACACTCTCCAATAGCCGAATACTGTCGGAAGAATGTGATTAGTAAAACTCCATGAAAAGTCTGTACTCAAAATCGGCACTGCTGGAACATGTGGTTTATCGGTAAGTTTGTCAATCAGTTCTTTTAAAAAGTGCCAGGCGTCCGGAGAATGCGGATGACGCGCTGTTCCGTCAATCAAATGTCTAATTATACAAATTGCTCTTTGAATGGTAATTGGTAAATCGAGCCATTCAGACTTTTGATTCTAAATGTCAAAACACCGCAATCTTATTTCGATGAAAATTCACTTTGCTCACGTAAGCTTGAGAAATTTCTGTATTTATGGTAATGAAATAATCGTCCTTATGTAAAATACTTCATGATTTTTTTTAATAGAATTTTTTAGCTGTAATTAATCATCATCTGTAAATCTAAAATCTATTGTACTGAAGAACTTTTAGGTACGGCCAGTTATTTACTGTACATATTAGTGTTGCAATCCTGCGCTTATAATGCTTAGTTAGGAACATTCTCATAGAGCAACCTTAACTGCAATCTTTCAAAGAAGAGGAACTCACAAAGCCACGAAGAAAAGTTTACTTAAACAAAGTATCTGTGTCGCTATCTATTTAGGAAGGCCTCTGACTTTTTAGTACCAATCTGTTTTAAATTTTTATTTCAAGTAATAGACTTACTGACTATAAAATTTAATGTCCCTTCATCCTCCACTTTGAGAAGACTGCCTCCAACAGCAGTTTGACAAACGCCGGACATCTCCTCATAGGTCGCTTCATAAACAATATGTGAAGTTGATCGAGGGTTATTTTCATATTCAATCAGAGCAGTATTTGCCTAAAACGGTTAGTAAGCTTCAAACTGCCATTACATAATTTCTTTACCGCAACGTATTCACTCTGCTTGAAATAACATGAATGCAATCAAACAATAAGGAGCACAGATAACAAATGATTGAAAACCGTGTATTAGTGGAAATATAGATTATAAACGAATAGGCTTTTGTACTGATAAAGAATGTAGTGCCTGTCTTTATGTTAAACTAGACCGATCACCAGAAGACATGGTGGGAGATTTTTTTTACAAACTGTGATATTTCTTTGCGTCGTCTTGACAACTAAGAAGTAGGCTACTAGTAGATTGAATGGAAAATATAATAAATGGGCCACAAGCAAAATGTCTGAAATTACTTAATTACCTTTAGTGGAAATAGGCAATATGAGCGTTTTTTTACGTCATAATACAACACAGGCGAATCAAAGTAATTGCCCACAAAACTTATTGGGCAATTTTCTTTCTTTGCTGTAAAACAACTATTCAGTTATATAGTCTCTTGATGCCACTTTAAAACAAGAAATTTGTTTCATGAATCTGCTGCTTGGTAAAAATCGAGGCTGTAACTTCATAATGAAGAAGTGAGAAAGTTTTGATAGCCGTGGCTGTCGTGAAATATTTTTGATCCGATAAACGTAAAAACAGTGTCTCGAACAGAAATTACATAAAGGTTGCACTTTCTCTGCAAGAGGAATTAACAGTGCTAAGCAAGCAATAGTAAACTTCATAGACTACCCTGTCACTTCTTCCATTCCAGGTATGTTCTAAGATTCAAGCGTGAAATTTAAAAGCGGATAAATTAGAAAGAATACACAGTCCCACCAAATTTTTAGGATGGTAACAGCCTCATCTTTTGCTCATCAGCACAAGACAATAAGTGTTTACTTTTCCACGGAAAAAAGTTATGAAGGAACGACAGATACGCATTTGCTAAAAAAATACAGTCACTTACCAGAGCTAACCAAATTACCCTGAAAAAAACTATTATAGCTACAGCATCACCAACAACAGCGTAGAGTGATGTAATGTCAAAAAAAGAAATTATGATTTTGATTTTTCTTATAACCATTTTTTTTTTTTTTTGCTGTAACCGACCGTAATAGCAGCCCTTGAAAATAATGGGAACACTGCAGTTAGTTTTTGAAGAATAAAACCTTACAATATTTGCTTCACCCATAACTAGACAAATTGGTATAACTTTCGCACTGCACGAGATATTCTTACGCAAATCAGCTTCACTGCCACCTGAAGTTGTACTTGAGAGCGCCTGATCGTTGTACTAAGAATTGTACACCAAATTAACATTTATATTATCCAGATAGCTTCCTTCTTCGGTTGCTAGATCCGATCAAAAACGGCATTTCGTAAATGGTAATAACTGAGTAGCAGCAAGCAGAAGATTCAGGCTTAAATTGTATGTAAAAATAAAAAAACTTTTAAAGTTACTTTTACCACTAAAATTAATAGCGTAACACCATTCTTTTTCATTCGGCCAAGGAAACCCGAATAAATACTGTTTGTCCAAAACATCTTCACTAACATTATAATACGTCAATAGTAAATCTGAAAAAATTTTTAAGGGATAACTGCAAAATTTGAAAATGACAGTTCGAATTTTTAAAAAGTTGAAGCTAGAAATCGAATTCAGTTTATTATGCAGTAAGACTCATACAAAAAATGACTTGCTATTTGTCAGAAAATTACAGTATATGTCAACAATTTGAAGATCTTTTGCGAAGGAAAAATATTAGGTTTTTAACTCAGAAAAGTAATGGAAAAGAAAAAAAAAAGAAATATTTGAAGTAGACGGTACGTGCATACCTTTCAAAGAATTCATGATTTTCCGTAACTTTGACTTTTCAGGTTCAGCAGCGACATTGCCAAAATGATCCGAGCAGTAACTTAAGCCTCGTCTCGCTGTTATTAACTGCTTAAAATTAATTACAATGCCTCATGTACGCACAACTTCCAGAAATTTGGATCTTCTTCTGCATTCTACGTAAGTTCCAAAAAATTTGAAAGAAATGTTCGTGACCTGATGACGACTGAAGGTAGGAGAAGTCAGTTTCAGTCATTTTACTGTCCTCTTCCTTATTTCTTTGTTTTTTTGTATTCTACGTTTCTAACATATTGGCTTGTTCAGTGAGCGTGGCGAAAAAACAGTTTATGCCAGGTAACAGTTTATCCCCACAAGGAAAAATTGACACGAGTAGATTATATATAAATTACATATCAACTAAGATAGTGCAGTCAAAAGGCATGTCTGGAAAGACTCACCAAAGGACGTGTGCTACGTCAAGCTTAAAATTCGCTTATAAAGTACATAATGTAGAGAGCTGCCTGTAACGACAGTCGTGAACCTTGAAGAGTTTCCTCACAGTAAGGAGGGATGCTACTTCACAATTTTGTGCTCAGAGTAGTGCTGAAGGAAGTTATTTTTATATCACTTAGGACGCCAGCTAAGGTAGCATGCTAGTGACGTGGAATGAGATTAAGGTATTACAAAGTCTCTTCACCTCGCGGTTGAAATCAGCAGAGCAAAAATATGTCACCTGAACTTGACTCTTCACCAACTCAAACTGTTTTCTTCTTTGCCTACAAATGTAGCTTTATTAAATAGCGTTGTGCAGGAAAAAGTGTATTTGAAACATTCTTCTTCAACTGCAGCCGTTCAGTTTCCCAGCCCTGTTCACCGTATTGCCCATCTCCCCCTGATTTCAAATCTAGGCTGTTTTTATTAGCTGCTGTCCGAATCTTCTTGGGTTTTTGAAACAGGAGAGAAAATTTTATGAAATTTTGCAGTAACGAAGATTTTTAGCGGTCAGTAAAGGGCACCACAGTATTCTTTCCATTATACGCAAGATAACTTCCTCACCAAGCCACAAGTGAGCTTCCCCATGTCATAAGGTACTCTCACACTTCTGCCCAAATTATAGTAGGAAAATACTTGCCGTTCTACTAAAAATGATGAAAAAATAATCGCTAATCATTCTTCTTCCTTTCTTCTTTTTTTTTTTTAAACTATCCAGTTATTCACTAATAATTTCTGATTTTCTTAGTCTGACAGTTTGATGACGTTTTCCACCCTTCATTTACATGGTGGCTGTATTTTGTTTTTACACATTAAACTGCCGGTTATTTAACTTACTATACAAAAAAATTGAAGGCTTTTTGCGGGCAATAAGGAAAGTCATTACTCTAATAGATTAGAAGATATGTATAAAAACTTAAAAGCATCCTCACATTATTGCTAAAAGAAATTTCGACAACAAAAAGACTGAAGGGTAAGATAAGACACTAATAAGCAGCTTGCTGCTGGCTACATATATCATCATGCTATACAAAAGTTTAGCACACCTTTGGAGAGGTCACAAAAATAACCGGCAAGTACTCTCGTGCAACACAGTGGGATTGCGCCAAAGCTACTGGAATTTTTGCAGAATAAGGCATTTCAACTTTCAAAAATTTTCACACCAGGTTAGAAGTGGCTTGCCTTATATTTAGAACTGTCAACAAAACCTGGTGCACCTTCAGAAATTCTTCCAAACTATACTCTATCTTTACAGCAGTTCCTCCAACAAATTTGCCGACAAATGCTACGTTGAAAGGGAATTTAAGCGATCGCAGACAAATCTGCCCGTGCAGATTCTGGCTCAGAGGATGAATTACATTACCCATTTTGGTATTTTTTCTGCGAAGCTCTAAAATAAAAAACAGCCTTCTTGCTAAACTAATTTTAACCAATGCAAAATTTACTGTTAATGAAACAGTGGGTGAAAATTAAGCTAAAAAGTTGACCTACATTGAAGTGATACCAGCAGTACTCTCCGTGAACGTAGCTGTCGGCAAAAAGTATCTCTCTGGAAGTTCGTCTGTTCTTGCAGGGATTGTCAATTGAAAGTTCTGTAAGCAGTTGATGTACTTCCCACAGCAAATATTTGAATATATTAGACCAAATTGAGAGTTACCATTAACAGGTTTTTCAAAACAGGCTTCTGGTATTACAATAAGTTTACGATGAAGCAAACGGGTTAAGTATTTCTGCCTTCAGTAACCGCCATTTTCAACGATAAAGGCATGACAAAAACTGGCGAAAGAGTAAAATCAAAAGACCATAACTTTGTTTTAAGAAGTAAACTAATTTTGTCCCTCACTGGCGATTTAAAAAAAAATAATATAATATTAACATATACCGTTATTTTCTCTCTTTCCTCTAGAGGCAACCAAAGTTTTTGTTTCCTGAAACTTCTGTTATCATTATAACTTGCCAGAGCAGTACTTTATTCTTCCTAATGATCATAGCAAAACTCCGGCAATTTCTCATCCGCTATAAAAAATTTATTATTTATATGATCATCATACATGCAAAAAATGATGTCTGCTCAGCAAAGCTTTTAAACATCGAAATCTAGTCAGGACAGAAAATGAAAGAAATACCAAAACTTTGTCGCCATCTCGGAAATGACTGGCAATTTCTGCTGTAGTACTTCTGAGTTCCATGTGTTGAAGTGACTCGTTGTGCAGTTGTTGAATGGATGATGCTGAACCGTTTCAAGCAATGTGAATTACTTGTTTAACGTGGTTGTACCTTTGAAAGACTAAATTTTTAAAATCTTGTGGATGGTCAACTCAACTGTTTGGATTAACTGCTTCTATCGGAGACTTTAGAAGGACCATGCGTGATTTTAATCAAAAGTCGTTAATACAAAAAGCTGTTTCAATATGTCACCAAGTCAAGGGAAAGAAAGTAATGACGTACCATAAAAGAAAAACAAAAATGTTCTGATAAAGTAGAAGAGTTGCAACAACCGCATTTACAAAACGACTATAATTAAAAACTGAAAAGGATTATGGATTTGGGATCTGGAAAGATGTCCTATACTGGCCAATTCCAGCAAAATAGTTCTTAATGCTCTAATGTTTATTAGAAGCGATTGGTGCTTTTTATAGAATTATTTAGGCCTTTCTCTGAAGTATAGCTTGCGATAACATTAAACTTATTCAATTTTTAGCTTCCGTAGTTTCCAATTTAATTACAGCTCTTTTAAATGGTCTTTACTGCATTATTTTTAAAAACAGCTAGCAAAAGCTGAAGTCGACAGTTTGGTAAGAGTATGATTATTTCCGGGAGTTGTTTTAACTACTGATTGCACCGAAACCCCTACAGACCGCAAATAATTCTATTGACTTATAATTATAGGTGCGGATTTAACTGTTTACAGATGTTGCGTTTCTTAGAAAATAATTTTAACCTTGTCCGCCTCTCTTTATAGGATGGCCTGCGCTACTTCTTTCCAGTACTTGAAGCTTTTGTACTCTTGTAAG